TAATGAGAGAATGTATTGCATGCAATTTCCAGGTTAAAGTACATTTTCATTGATTTTAATCCTTGTTGTTCCTAAAAGTTGTTTTTAAACTCCGAGTAGCGTAGTCTGTGCAGTCTACGTACAGCGTAGTTTGTGTTTACCTGTATATCCAAGGGTCGCTTGGAAGAGGTTAAGAACAATGGAAAATTCTAAATTTGCCTTTCTAAAAAGTGGTCGCACATGGAGGTTCGGCTTTATTTAAATCTATGTTTTTCCTAAACGTTCTTTTTAATCTCTGAGCAGCGTTGTTCATACAGTGAAAACAGAGATCAGACCTTTACATCAGAGGGTCGCTTAGAAGAGGTTAAGAACAATGGAAAGTTCTAAACCGTCATCCTCAAAAGTGTTCGCGATTGCTTACGAGGGGTTCCAACTATAAAGCTTTGAGTTTGACTGGAAAAATCTTGTGCTTTGGATGAGTAGTCGCTCATTAAGGGATTTGGCTTATCAGAGGGGGGGGTCGCACATGGAGGTTCGACTGTCATAGGCGTTTTATTAGCAGATCGATATGTAATTTGCCGCGTCAAGTCATTTAATAGCTTAAGTGATTTTTCATTCAGGAGCAGAAACATGTTAAACTCACGTGACAACCAAGGCAGTACCAGGCTTCCTCCACTACCTATGCCTAGCTTCCCGCGGTTTAACCAATCAAATTATCAACCAAACAGAATGACGTATGATGAGCTGCCAAACTTCAGGTATGAGGACACTTACAGCAATCGCTTTTACTAATTTTGCTTTACGAAACGGAGCGCTATGTGGATTGGTTCTAACCGTAAAATAATTCGAATTCCAGAATCCGGCAAAATTTTGCTTATGGAAGCTGGAATTCGGAGAAGTTTCGCTTGTGGAATCCGACATCCAGCGAACAATTGAAATTCGGAATCAAAGTTCCACTGACAAGGAATCCGAAATTCAGTTTCTGCTGAGTCCGGAATCCACAGCGCGGAATCCAGAATGCAAGACTGTCTTGGATTAATGGATCACTGTACCAAGATCTGGATAGTACTTCTGACTGGTCGTGCGGCGAGGGAAATTTGCTTCAACCCATCAGGAGCACTACCCATATCCCAGAAGTACTTCTCATTGGCCGTGCCGCATGGGAAATTTGCTTCAACCAATCAGAAGCACTACTCTGATCTGGCCAGTGACACGTCATCAGCTTGGAATTTCTGCGCTTATTCCTCAGACGTCTTTTTGAGGTGAAACCGCTGGTGGCGTCGCGTACTGTTTTCTCAGGCTAAGTTGTCCCCTAAAAATGGCTGCGAAGGAGACTACGTTGTAGCAAAATCGCTTTTTTTTCTCCTGAAACTATGGAGACGTTAGAAAGTCTCGAGAGAGCAAGATTAATTTCTCCCGACAGTACAGACATTGAAAGCGTAATCAAGTACAGACTCTTTAAAATGTTATCTATAGACTGTTACGATTCAGTTTTCTTTTGTCTTTGAAGGAGTGATCTTCGCAAAACGTACGACAAACAAGCAGAAAAACAAGAGAAGGTGGATTATCAGAGAGCCGTACAGGACTGGAACAGAATGAACCTTTCCGAACTGAAAAAACTTCCTCCAAATCCGCGGTATCATTTCAAGAAGACCATTGTGTCGTATCTCGGGACAACTCCAGGGTCAAGCAAGGCAATAGTACCACTAACTGAAGAGCTGAATGCCAAAACGCCGGAGCCGATTGCGCAAAAGTAAATTTTTATAACCAAGACTCGTTCAAATGGGAATCTTGCCTGTCATGATGAACACTACAGAGGATAAAGGACAAGGGCTGTTCCCACTATAAAGCAGCTTTTGAATCAATTGCAAAGTATTGACAGCTTAGTATTGACAGCTTATGTATATGTTGGTTTAACGCCTATTACAGAGAATTCAATTTATTGTTATCCGTAATTCAATTTTCAGTCAATTTTAGCCAGACTAGAGAAGCTATTTTACCGGCGCCATTTTGAATTTATTGGATAATGTGAGCGCAAAGCAGAATACTGACAGCTTTCTTCTCTTTTGAATTTGTATATTTTGTTTCAACTCTTATTACGGAAATTTTAAGTTATTGTCATGAATGTAATGCATTTTCAAATCAATTTTAGACATTTTAGGCTGCAGAGCAGGCTTTTTTCTTCTTTAACGATAACTCAGCGGTAGCTATCATTTTTTGACTCGCCACAACTCTCTGTCAGTTTTAACGTCCAAGATGGCGGGAGAACATTTTGTAGTATCATCGTTCGCACTGCAAAATATGCCTACTAAATCAAGTTTTAATTCACAAAAGTGGCTAGACTCGATTAAAAACAAATTAAGGCTTCGCTGCTTAAACGGCTTTCAAAAGCCTCACAGTAAACCTATTCATTGTTACAAAAAATTGCCAAATCTATAGTTTCGTGCTCCTTTTGACGAAGGGAGTCGGAAGTAAATTCAGCTTGTTTTGATTAATCAGGCTTTAAAAAAGATCTCAGTATAAATAATTATTTGTTCCGTGTTTTCATTAATTCATTTTAAAAGGTTTGTTTTTAAAAAAAGACATTTAGGGTCGGTCATTTAAACGTGCTTTTATGAAACTGTTCACGGTAAATGGTGTTTACATAAAAGCTTTCGGCAAACTGAAAACGGCTTAGAACACGGTTTTGTTAAACGCTGGCTAAACTCCGTTTAAATAACTGGCCCTCAGTTTATAAAAAAGTTTGTCAAAAACAAGCGAGTGCAGCTCACAGCTTTTGCTGATTTTTCTAAATATAAAGTGTATTAATGTACCTAGACGTTTTTTTACTGTAGGTAGAAGTTCAAAATTTGATTCCAGTTGGGCCCCGTCGGTCAACACGCATCCGGGTATTAGTGAGTTTACGCAACAGGACCGTAAAACGCTCAAGTTGTGTGCGACAAACGTGACAGGTCTGTTACTGGCGACTATTGTCTTGATCTTCACTTAAAATTAATGTTTTCTAGTCTTTTACGATAAGATTTGTCAAAGGGAAGGTAAAGTTGGGCGGAAAGTGTTTTCAAACATGTCGCACAAGGTTTGCCGTCTTCTTTCCTCTCCCGTTCTGTTGCGTAAGTTCACTATTATTGAAAACGAAGATTTTTTTTCTCCGTTTTCAAAAACAAAATACGCGTCCAAATGTACCATATTCGAATCGTTTTCGCCCTTCCACACGAAAACGCTTAATCAATGGAAAAACGACAGCATCACTTACGGAGCATGCGCAATTCTAGTAGTATATGATGTATGACATCATCGTATTCGAAAACCTCCGTTTTCGTCCGTCCACACGGAAATGAGAAGCCGGCGTTTTCTAAAATCTCCACTCCGGAGTGCGTTTTTGAAAAGTTTCGTTTTCAGTGACCGTTTTCACCGGATACGTGTGGACGTTAGGCCAAATCGGAAATAAAAATCTCCGTTTTCGAAAAAAAGAAAACGGATACGTCTTGACGGGGCCTTAGTACATTTAGTCGACTGTGCAAATCGTTGGAATATATTTTATGGAATCTGAGTTGTTATTAAAACCACATTCACGTTACTTAGCGGTGTATTGTGTAGTCATCTATGTCTTCCCTCGGAAACAGAAGGTCGCGTTCGAACACTTTCATTTCTCCCCACAAAAAGTAAGATTTATAAGTAACCAAGTGATTAACTTGGAAACTCCCCTTCAGGTTATGTTCAGACGGGTTCAGTTAAAGGGGCTAGTAACATACGGGTGAATTGTACATTTTTTCGTTAAAGTATTCTCAGTCATCTTCGACGTCTGACCCAACAGACGATCTTAACTTAATTTAGGTCGACCAAAATTAGAGTTTTGTTCCATCGTCTCAACAAAAGTTCGACGTTTGGCCTAGGTCTCAGACTTTTTAGAGCCAACTACGTCAACGTCTTCTAGTATAAATACGCCCATTACCCTTCTCCTGTATGCACCCGTAAAAGCTACCGTTTGTGTGCGAGTTTACAACGTTCATCAAGTGGACTTCAAGTTACCTTTCGCAACATTAGTTCAAAAACAAACGATAAACTCAGAGCCTGTTTACGTGGAGGTGGGGGACCCCAGATAGGTGAGGTAGCATGCGGCGGGTCACCTCACCTAACATGTAAACGTGATCAAATTAAAATGAGAGACTATATGGACAGGCGGGTTACCCCACCTAAGCGGGTTACCTCACCTCCCTAGGGTGTCCCACCTCCATGTAAATAGGCCCTTAGGCTTGCCTTGGACAAACTTTACACTGATCGTACAATCACGACACAGATAAAAACTTAATTTACAAAGAAAGTTCCTAAAAGGTATAATTTGGATGAATACCGCACTATCCCTAGATCTATTCCCACGAGGATCAAACTCTTAGTCGATAGGCGCATGCCTATTTCAAAGTATCCCGTTCGTGGCACCTGTTGTTTTTAAATTACTGACAAATCGTTGTATCAGTCAATCGGGATCGACACTATCAAAATCAAGAAAACTGTTCAAAACATCTAGTTTGGTAATCAAGCCCTGGTAAAGTTGGCTTCGCTGATCTTGTTGATCCGCGCATCGTTTCAGCTGAGCACAAGCGCGCTTCAACACTTTGCAAAAAAGGGGACCTTTTTCCACATTAAAGTAGGACTTTTCCAATAGATAAAACTTTCTTGTCACACGTTGTATCAAATTGTTAAAAATTAAAAAGAGTAGCCACTGTCTTTGTTTATCGCACCAACGCCGGGAACCACATCTTCTTTCACAACAACCTTCTTCTTATCTTTCTTTGTTAGAAAAATAGGGGACACAGATATATGATTCCCGTATTTGGTCGAAGGAAAGTGAAATCGCGAAGATTTTGTACTGAACGCGTGCGTAGAAAACAGAATCAATATCTGAAGTGTTTCAAACACAAATAAAACGTGTTTGCGGTCAAATACAAGAACAAAAAAATCCAAACACACTTTCCTTTGTTTGCATTCTTTATTACCTTCTAAGATATATGCAAATATTCGCTTTCAATTACTGTACCATTGCCAAGGGACCTGCAAGACTTTGGTTTCCATAGAAACCACACTCTCAAATACACAAGTGCAGCGATAAGTTGAGTGATTGCTGTAAAGAGACCTAACACTCCTTTAAAGTTTTTCCACATACGTTGCCTGTTAGGTAAGTCAAAATTTTGAAGTATCTATTATCGAGTTTTATAAAGTACCCGTTTTGTGCGCACATTAGAAGAAATTAACCATGTTTGCTTGACAAAGTTTTAATTACATTGAGGGCCCAGCATTTTAACTCAAACAAAGGTTTTGTTCTTAGTTAAAATTGTTCGACTACAAGACGATCTGGAAATAATGACGGACGAAGTTAAAGACCAATCTGAAGGTAACTTCTATGAATTACAGTGTATAAGATTCTAGCTAATGGGAAGTTAATTTATTTGAATAGAGACATGATAATTGATAAATGTTTACTCTCAAAAGACTTGCTAAAGCTAACAACGCCGGCATGAGGCAATTCTTTATTGGTTGGCTTCTATTCATCTCTCAAAATGAGGACAGGTTTAATGATTTTCTCTTCAAAACCTTCTACCGTTAAAGTTATTTTACAGAAGACTTTAAAGAATACCGTGTATGACCTTGGGTGAAAGTATTTCGGAACTTGTGGTCGTTCAATGGCGGCTCTTTTGAAAACCAAAAAACAAATTCATGCGCCAACTATATAACCGATGCTGGGAGAAAACGATAAAAGATCCTATGAGAAAGCCAGCACTTAAGTATAAATCTTCGTGAAGAATACAGCACTCGTATGAATGGCTCGTCTATAATGTCCTCCCATTTCCGTAGTTAAGTGTTTAATGAGACTGTTCTCTTTTGTACTTAAGTAAAACAAACAAACTCTCTCACACAAATTGAAAAGTTGGTCGAATTCTTGAAACTGTATGTACTCGTCTAGTTTTGACAAGTATGGTGTATGAAAACGACAGAAATAGCGACTTAAGGTAGAAGAAAAAAAGAAACGAAAGGCCCACATTATTCAGGGAAAAGGTGACTTTCAGATGGAAAAGAATTCGAAAACGTGAGTTTCGTTTGATCACTAGCTCTTTTGTCAGGACAACGACGCTCCCACGGATTATTTTGAAGTAATATATCAACAACGAGTGCGAGGGTTTCATCAGGGGTTCCAAACACCAAGAAAAAGATGAAAGGACGTGGCCGTAGGCCGAGTGTTTTATTGTTTCAACTCCCACTCGATAACACCATGAAGTCTTGCCTTTCACCCCACCGAGATAACATCACATTTTATTTTGCCTAGGTTGTAATAAATAGGTTCTTTTTTGCACTCGCTATATTTTTCACAAACGCCGACCCTCATCTTACTGAACACACCTTTGGGGGTAGGGACTCCAGAGAAATAAATAAATTTAAACTATCAAAATCAGGAGCGCATTAGCCGCAGCGACCAACTTCCTCATGTCACGGCTTTTTTTGCCGACCAGCATATTTTTAGAACGGCCGCTTTGGCGCGAATTCTGAATATCCTTTAAGACCCACAATCCAGTCAGCAAAACCTACAGACATAAGAATGGTATTTTTAACCTTTTAATGACGTTTAGTACAGTTTCCTTTTTAATATCTTATAATTCGAATGAGCTCATAGAGGGAGCGAAGATTCCATTTTCGCGGGAAAAAATGCTACAAAATGTATCTAAAAATGAACCGGTCCGTTAAAACGAAATGGTATAGGCCTAGTATGGGAGTTATTATCTCCGGGTTATGGGTTTCTGTTCTGTCATGCATGGGTAATGCTATTAGGCCTAGGCAAAACGTCGAACTTTTCATTACACGAACCAAACTTAGTGAGTTAAGATCATGAAAAGTTTGACGTTTGGCTCAGTTAGGTTCGTCTTAATGAGTTTGGATCATCGATCCAACACGTTCTGTCCGTCTGCTTCAGACGGATAGAACGTCTGAAGATCGTCTCCGGGCTTCAGTTGATTGGTTCGACGCGTCCTAAGTTCAACGTCTGATCCAACAGACGATCTTAATGTAATTCAGGTCGACCCAAATTAAAGCTTGGTTCGTCTAATGAAAAGTAGACTGCGAGCAGTCTCTTTTTTTTCTTTTCAAAGTTACTGCGCGCAAAGCAAAAGCTAAGCACGCGAGCGGCGAAGCCGCTTGCCGCGAGAAACGAGGGCGGATTTTAAGAGAAAAGGCGAACTGCCAGCAGTCTACATGAAAAGTTCGACGTTTGGCCTAGGCTTTCTAGTTAGCCTGATTTATCTAATGTTTCAGCAAGGTATCAATCTTTTTCATTATTTAGAAACAAAAGAGGAGGAAGCTGAAGAGGCTAATTCTCAGTCCCAGTCTTCCAACGGAAAAAAACAAATGCGCTCTCAGATGCTTTGTGAACTGCATCGAGTGAAGAAGGAAATGATTGAAAACAGTACAATATTGACCAAACCGGAAGTGTAAGTTCTGTTAACGTAGGCATTGGTAATTAAGTTTACATCGATAGCATTTATTTCCAATATCAAATTTGTTATTTGTTGATGTTCACAGCAAACCATACACTCCGGATATCTTTAATGACCTGTCACCGTACTACAACACGTACATCGTTAATTACATGATAAACGACCAGGTAAGTCAACGGTTATACTAGAGATACGTTATAATAAGAACAACAACAACAACAACAACAACAACTTTATTGACTTTATCTTCGACATGAAGATTTCAGGACCAAAACAATCAATATAACAACAAATGACATAAAGTAAAATAAAAGTTAAGTAAGAGAAAAAGCAACAACAACTATATATAGAACATAAACATAGAAAATTACGCGGCTATGTACGGCTTCTATGCTACTCGTATGTTAAGAAAGAGCAAGAGCAATTCTCAAAGGGGCCATGTCATGGGGATTTGCTGTTTTAGGTCATTTCTGTACTTAAGTCAATACTTAAGGCCTTTATACAAATGTCCGTGTAGAGTATGAAGAAAATATAAAAAAATTCCATCAGGGAGCACTAACCATGACATATTTTTGGAGACTTTTCCGGGCATAGCATTAAAACTTTAAAAAGTATTCAATCAAAAATATCTCCCCGTTTCTGACCGACTAAACTTCCCTGGACATTTGACCAAAACTGGAGGACTTATTCATCGGCCAATAATTTTGGCAATTAAAAGATTTACGCTAATCGTCGAAAAATAAATAAATAATTGGAACACTGACTTCAAGTCAAGACAGCGGTGCGGCTCAGGTGCCTTCCCTTGTCAGTGTAGAACTACTGAGCGATGACGAAACAGCCCGGAATTACTGACCTCAAAAAAAGAAAGCAATATTAAACGGCAAGGGTAAATCCAGTAGATATTTTCTCAGGGAGGAAGCTACATTAGGTTTTGAAGAGTTGTTACCAGTTTTTCTCTCTGTTCAATTCACCGTAACACCTTTTCCCATTGTTTTCAGGTTGATTATGTTCCACGACCGGGATGGGGCACAAGGGCTACGACCCTAAGGCTTGTAGGTGAGAGAATAAATACAATGATAAAGGCCGGAAAATCATGAAAGGTTGACTTAAAAAGACATTTATTATGCGTGGTCTCTATGAAAAAAAAAATGTCTTGAACTCCGGTTTAGCAGTCATGTCTGTGCTCTAGAAGAAGCCGCCCAGAAACTTCGGTGAACCGCTATGTTTGTAACCAAATTTCTTTTCAAATGATCAGTTTATTCGTTTCTACGCGAAAACCTATTGTTCACATAACCTTGTCAGAAGTGAAAAACTTAATGCCTGTCTCTATGCAGTGTTTGATTAGAGGATAATAATAATAATAATAATAATAATAATTTAATATTTATAAAGCATACTTTCTATATACACGAGGCACAATTTAGCAATTTTAAATGAAAGACAGAGAGAGAGTTCCATTTTTATTTCTTTGCTCTCTACAAACTAAGGCAAGCCATCATCAATTAACAACATAATTTTCTCTTTCAGACCCAGATGTGTCGTGGAGAATGGATCAGTAAGTTACTGTTTTTTTGACAACGTTTGTTGCCTTGGAAACTTAAAGGTTCACTCCCTAATCTGTCTTTAACTTTCCCTAAACAAAAATTTTCTTCATATTGTCTTCCTTTTTTTTACAAAACAGTACCTGCCGAACAAAAGCCTGGGGAATAACCGTACGATCCATCACGGTCACACCATCCTCAGTTTACATTTTAGAAAAGCCTACAATCCCAGACAAAAGTAGTTGGAAAGGGTGTACAACTTAACAGTAGTCCATTTTAATCCTCAAAAAGAGAGTTTTCTCTTCCCTCCCCCCACGCTGTTAACTACCATAGGCCCGCGGCCGCGGTTAAATTCGGACGACTCTGGAATTGATTGCCCAAGTTCAGTATTATAAATGGCTTTCAAAAGCTTTATCTTTTTTTACGGCAACAGGGTTAAAATTGAGGTTAGGAATATACATCACAGATATTGCTTGTGGTTTAATGGTTAAAAGCGAACTAAAACTACGAATTAACATAGCCAACGAATTCAACATGTTGATAGTTGCCTGCGTGCAGACGTCTCCCAAGTAGAGAAACCGGCGTAAATCCTCGTTTGTGTCAGCAACAGAATCGAAGGATGCATGGTTAGCCCGTGAGAGGACAAGAATGCCAACCAGGCTAGCTGTTTCTGAAGCTACCACTTGTTTATTACAGAAGGCCGCTTGTAACCGCAAACTCCTCCCTGTACCATATATCCAGCCTTATAACCGTTTTTCAAAGCTAACAAATTCCCCATTCTTTATCGACCAGTAAGACATATCTTGTCTGGCTGCACCGCAAATCTCCTCACAGAGGAATCTCTTGAACTCTTTGCACGGCATTCTTTATTATTTGCAACCGCGTAAGTTACATTTACGTAGATAACTGCGATGTACTGACTTTCAAGTGCTAAATTAATAAATTTTGGTGACTTATTATAAACTTCTAGAATAATTGCCGTTTTGTCTTTCTTCACAGTTTTCCAGGACCCATGTATGACTCAGTGGTCCCACGAGGTTTCTATAAACCTCACATTTGGTATGTATCTACAATTCCTTGTACATGTGATACCGCGCGTCTTTACAAATACCGTGTCGTGAAATTCTGAGTTAAGCCCCAGGAAATATATTTTTACAGGCCTGTTTTTGATTGGCTTATACACGCAGGGGTGGTGGATGCGAGGAGGTGGGACGGTGTGGGGGGTGCGTAGGGGGGTGGTGGGGGGGGGTGGGGGCGGGGTGGGGGGGGGGGGGGGTCGGTGGGGGCGAGAGGGGTTGTGTTGGTAGGCGGGGAGGAAGGGGAAAAGGCAACTTGCGATTTAAAGACCCAAGAGCTCATAATTGGAGGCAAAATTGTGTTCACAATTTTTCACCATCTGCATGGAGTGGCATGATGTGGTTGTTTTTAGCCGGGTTGTGTACTTCTTCATTTTTTAAATTGTTATATTATTGTTTAAGGAGCAAGAATGTGTCTGGAAAAGATAGCAGTCACGGCAGCACCAGACTTCCTCCAATTCCAAAAGTAGCTTACCCAAGATTTCAACAAAAGCAATATCAGCACTTTAACATGAATTACTCACACGTGCAGCCCTTCAGGTAACAAAAAGGGAAAGACAAAGTTGTTCTGGCATGCTATACTGCGAGCAGTCGCGCCTTAGTCTATCACGCGTGTGCTCTTTCGCGTCTCCCTCGCACGTTTCGCTCAGTCGACGGACTAAGAAAAAAAGAGAGACTGCTTGTAGTCTGCTGGCATACAGTTCTCTGGTATTGAAAAGGGAGCGATCCCCATGTAACTTGAAACGAATTCAATCAATAAAAGAAACAGCATCCACACTGCAAGTCTAACAGTAGCCCAAAAAAACACTTTGAATTTCCATTGCCGACCTCAGTTTAAAAAAGAGCAAAAAAGAGCTGTGCGGTAGTTATCTTTAGAATCAAAGTGAGTTGCATCACGTCAGTTGATGGTATTTAACTCTTCTAAAGTACCCTACAACCTAATGAGAACTTTATCGACGCCATCAAGACAATGCAAATACCTGACAACCGCAAGAGAAATCAATGTTCACCAGTATTCCACTTCTTAACATAATGGAGTTTCGTTCGTGACAGAAATCAAATACAGTCATGTGATCAGTAAGTGTTGCGTTTCTCTCAACAGAAGCGACATCCATCGCCTCCAAGAAACGAAAGCGCAGAAGAGAATGAAAGAGGATCATCAAAGGACGATGAACGACTGGAACCGAATGAACCTGACCGAGCTGAAGGTGCTTCCAGAACAGTCACGCTATCACGTCAAAAAGGCTATCATATCCTACTTAGGAGGCTCTAAGGGTTGTAACAAGGCGCTTAAACCTCTGTTGAAAGAAATTGAGGCTACAGAGCCGGTTCAGACAGCGAACGCCTAGACTGCGATTAACTCTCACTTTCAAAACGAGGCTAAGTGCAAAACCTTTCTTGCGAAAATGAGTTCGATTTGCATGAGAATGTAAAATCATTCTCATATCAGTAGCGTCGCACTTAGCCTCGCTTTGAAACAGAGGCTTGAGGCAACTCGGAAATGGACTGTTAGCTATAAATTTTTTACTTCCGCGTGAGCCCCGAGTCAGTGTTGATTTGCGCTATGGTCAATCGCTTCTCTTATATTAAAGACCTTTAGATTCAAGGAAGGAACGACTACGAGTTCCAGATTTAACTTAAAGTGTTTTCGCGTATTCTCGAAAAATAGACAGCCCGGAAAGCTTCATTGTACTTTTTTTCATTAGAAAAGATAGCACTGTTATCTATATTGAAGGAGGTCAGGCCCTCTCGCGATCGCAAAATGATAAAACTTCTAACATTTGATAATTCGTTTCCGCCATTACGACATTCTCGCTAAAACTCGAAGTAGAATGACGACGGCCACCAAGTTTTCCCGCCAAAATGATACTGGTTCATGCGCGCGCACTACTTGGAATCTAATGGTCTCTATTCTCTTTTACAATAGGGAACTTAAGAACCACGACGACGGCTTTGTCGACGACGACCGGAAGTGAGATACCGTGCACTGCGCAAGCGCGGTTAACAAATTTCGTCGTCGTGGTGTCGTCGACGACGCCAAATACAGTACGGTCACGTCGTCCTGCAGTCCACAAGCTTCGCCAGGTATAACTCCCTGTTTTTAAGCGATTCTTCAAGGGCTTTGTATTTTTTCACCTCGTAAATCCAGGTATCCTTTCTTTTTTCTGCTAACAAGCGATGTTGAAAAATTTGACTGATGAATTGTGTTTACTTCGAAGACAACACTGAGCTGTGCAGGCCGAGCGAGCGAACTCGTAAGTGACAAATTTATTTGTACGTATTTAGGTCAGGCAAATCATATATCTTTAATATAGAGGAAATGAACTTTATATAGAAAACAGCTATCGCATCGGAATGTCTCTTTTTCCAAATCTAAACTCTGACAGACAATCGGACTCGGTCATGTAATTCAGGTTGAACGTTGAATAACCTTCGTACGGAAAGCAGAGATTTTTCCATTCGAAAGGTCAGACAACACTAAAAATTCTTCATCGTCAATGAAAGTAGACGTACGGCTTATAAAATAAGATCTTGCATCNAATGTTGCACTGGAAACTGGGACAAAACAGTACCATAATGCAATACGGCACAACACTGACCAAGACTCGAACGCGACCTTTCAATGGCCTGTAGGGAGGCAAGACAAAAGATTGTATGTTCTCTTGAGGGACGCGTGCGAATGCACGGGGATTTTTTAAGGTGGTAAATGCATGCGACTGGACTTTCCCAAACGGCTAAGTCCCTATAGTAATTACCATCAATGCCACAGATACCAAGACAAACTAAAAGCTGAGGGATATTTCCCGAGGTATTAAGATGGGCAACTGAAAAATATAATTTACCGTGTTGGATGTAATGGCTTAGCTGCACCTTAGGTAATACAGATTTAGGTGCAAATCAAAAGCTGAATAGAGATTTTAGTGGTACTTAGTACTAACTTATAGGTTATCTTAACTAAGGAAGACATCACTGTTTTTAAACATTGTTTTGTTAATCAAATGTCTAACGAGTGAAACAAAAGAAACTTTTGTTACAAGAACCAATGCCCTTCTGGTTGGCAGATAAGTATCAATAGGTGACAGGAGGACTATCGCCTTCGAGAACAACAAAAACCGCTTTACAAGAGACGTGTGTTAATGAACTCCCGTGCACCCTCAAAATTTTTTCCTTAACGTTTTAAAACCCTGGTATCAGCTTCGTATATTCTCTACATTGTGCTACATACATTTCCTGCCGAGCATTTGTATTACAATCACGAGCTTTTAACTTACTGATCATTTCACCAGTTTTACGTTTGATTGGGTAGTGTCACCATAAAGAGAAGTTAAATGTTAGTCTCTCGCAAGTTGTAAAGGGTTGTACCAAGGCATTGTAGAGGGAATGTGGTATATATGGCGAAACAAAAGGTCCAATTCGTTTTATGGCGCCTATTCCAGAGGCAATCTTTTTGGATAGTATGTGAACATGACTTTGCGACGCCATGTTCTCATCAATAACAATTCTAGGTGATTTAGTAGTGTCCAGAACCAATTAACATGCACTCAGTTTTAGTCGTGTTCAGAGGAAGTTTATCGCAGAGAGGCCATTTGTGGTTAAGTGGTATTTGCCTGGCATCTATTAAGCAGAGTGTGCAAAAGGTGTCCAGTAGTTTTGCTACAAGTCGTTTCGCTGCATCATGGAGCGTGCAAAATTGGGCAAGGAAGCCTTTGTTCTTGAAGGCGTCTTCTGGCGTGGCGAGTTATTAACTGAAAAACGATTTAGAATGATTGCTAAGAAACAAGAGCAAACATTGACTTATTTTTTTACTTCGTGTGTATTATAAGGGAGCGAAACCTATGTAGAAGCAAATATATAAGATATTTTTGAAGCTTGAAACAAGTGTGTTATAATAAAGAATTGATTAATGCAAAAGCTGGTATATTACACTTTCTATTAAAGAGCAATGGAGTGGGTGGAAAATCGTGCGTTGAGCCAGAACAACTAGACTTCGACAGACTGCGAGCAGTCTCTTTTTTTTTTGAGTCACAGTAGACTGACTCCTTTCTACCATTAATTTGCACAATTTTACTTTTTCACTCGCAGCGCGGGGTTATGAGGAAAGAAGGAAGACCACTAGTGATATAGAACAGCATAGAGGCGAGAAGACATTTGGGGAGTCTGAACCCTAATGGATATTTGTTGCTGCGAAATTGTTGTTTTGTTCCAAAGTGGCTTGAATTGTAATGCGATTTTCTCCACAACCAAACAAAAGTTTTCATATCATAGGGGCCACATCTGCATAAACGGTGAAAATTCGCAGCAAAATAGCATCAGAAATGGAAAAAGTCACCTATGTTGACTGGCCTTAAGATGTTGCTGGAACTAAAACAACTGCATCTTTTTTTTTTCTGAAAGCCTTCTGTGTTGATATAGTTGTTATATGAAGTAGGGGTGGGAGACATGCATAGCTCGACACATCAGCTGTTTTATACCTTTTGTTTATTGGCAAAGAAGTTCAGTATTATTAATGTTTCTTGGGATTGAGGAGGATTCCATCGAACTGAAAGAAAAACAAAATAAAGGGAACAAAACCCATTAATTTATTGCCCTTGAGTGACGAAAACTTTACCCGGGAAGCCTCACATCATTGTTATATCAAGTCTAAATCTGAACTATGTCAGGCAACTAGTTAACCCTTTATGTCCCGATAGTGACCAACATCAATTTTCTCCTAACAATATCCAGTAATTGTCAAGAGATACAGTTATGAGAATTAACAAATGATCACCAAAGAGAAAAAACCTTGATCTGTTATTAAATTCTCTCAACTGATTCTTAAAGGAAATGTATGGAGATCAGTTTGGAGAATTTGTATGTTGATATTGGGACTTAAAGGGTTAACTGACATATAACAAGGAGACTTGAAGAGGAAAGCCACACAGGATCCCTGAACAAAAACTTTCTCATGATTTTAGCCTGTGCGGTAGGCACAAAAAAAGGGAAGGGTGGGGGAGGAGAAAAGTGGGATTGTCCAGCCCTTTCAATGCCTGCCACACAGGCTTCATTACATAGGAGGCAGAGTGGCCAAGTGGTCAGTGCGTACGACTCACAATCCGGTGGTCCCGGGTTTGAGTCCCGCTCAGGCAACTTGCTGGATTTGTTCTCAGTCATCCTGAGTTCAAATCCTCGGCCATACTTGTAAATAGCCAACTGGTTGCCCCCCTGCCAGTTTGGGTTTTTCATCCTGTTATGTTGTATTTGAATTATTTGTTTCTAAGTATTTGAGTGGAGAGCCTGTAAACTAGCTGGATAAGCTAAGTGTACTTTCCACCATGTTACAGTCAAACCAAGTCAAGCGTACCCCCCAAGATTCTATTAATGAATTGATTATTTGAAAAATGAATCCGTTAGTCGTTCCCGTAACTTGTGTCAAATTCAAAGAGGCATTTCTGAATGCGTAATGAGCTTTCTTAGAAGACATTTACATCAATTTCAGGAAAATGGAGCTGGTAGAAATTTCATAACGGCCTCGCGTGTGAATTCACGGCTCATTACACATGCAAGAATGCAGAGATCAATCTGAAGCCACAACTAGCAAAGGATTCAACTTTTGAATAATAAATTCATTAGTGTATTCTTGCGGGGTACGCTTGACCTGGTTTGACTGTAAACCTTTTTATTTTTAACCAACATTGTAATTGATTATTTAACAAAGTGCTGGATATTACACACCTTACTTTCGCATAAAATTTACCAAGTCTCTACCGTTTCTATTGTTTATTGTAAACTTCCATGAGATTAACACATACCACAGTCACACCCCACAAAAAGGTATAAATTATTCAGAGCTTTACTCATACCTTCTGCTGGAACCACTTCATGGACTCTTCTTTGGTAATCCTGTGTGGAAATCCCACATGAGCCTTGGCTCTTTTTCTCTTTGCCACGTTGAATCCAGGACGACCAAGGACCACATAGAAATCCATGCCATAAATACCAATGGTTGGGTCATACTTTATTCCTAGATCAATATGCTCCTGGATTCCAAAGCCAAAGTTTCCTGAAGCAGATCAACGACAAAAAAGATTTTGTTAATGATATATGAAGTAAATCATATATGAACTGGGGAAATGAAATGAAAATAAAGAAATGATCGTCGCAGTGAACGCAATTTATGCAATTGCCTAAAGAAGCCTGAAAAAAATTCAAGACCTCAACGGGGTTTGAACCCGTGACCTCGCGATTACTGATGCCATGCTCTACCAACTGAGCTATGAAGCCACTGACACTGGGAGCAGGTCAATTGTGGGTTCATATATTCCCGCGAAAGAAATGAGTGTTAATGATATATGAAATAAATCATATATGATTTGCGGAAATGAAATGAAAATGAAGAAATGATCGTCGCAGTGAACGCAATTTATGCAATTGCATAAAGAAGCCTGAAAAAAATTCAGGACTTCAACAGAGAGCATCGCACCGGAAAGAAATCGGCAAAAGTCACAGATAATAGGATGCTTAAGCAACAACTACGGTGACGCCAGCAAGAAGGGTAAAAAAGCAATAGGCACAATAGATTAGAAAAACAACAAAATTGGACGTGCATCACCCTTTTTGTTATTTCTTTGCCGTCATTGCAGAACTACCACACAAAAATTCCTTATTTTACATTTTGTGGAGGACATGAACACAAGACAAGACTTTCTTTTTCTTTTCTTGACCTTTGACACAGTCTTTTGGAATTCATCTCCAGAAAAAAATTGTCAACATTTGACAAATTGAACAAGATGGAATGAGCATGTTGAAGTTGATTGAAGCAGCCCGAATTTTTCAGTGACGTTTTCGTAGCTGTCGGCGTTGTTGTTCCTTAAGCTTTTTAATATCTTTACCAAAGCCCAGCTTTCAACACAGGTAAAAGTAAAAAATAATGTAAATACAGTAAACCTGTAGCAGAGAAGTTTCCTTTGTTTAACTCATATTCCCGCACTTTCAAGCCCTTCTCCAAGATTTCTTCTGCCTTTGGACCTCGCACAGTACAATGAACTGAGATCTTCTCATTTCTTCGAATTCCAAAAGACCTCACAGTGTAACGAGCTAGAGGGTAAAAAAGTTTCTCTTAACAGAATACTCACTAGCTTGATGCTGAGAGGATGGTTATAAAAATCTGAGACTTTGCAGGAAAAATTTTGCGAGATGGGAAGAAACACACAGAATGATTCTTCAATTCAAGATTAGTTTACAATTTTCTAGGTAACCATTCACTATGCCTAAGTTTTAACATTTGTAAAAACCTTTAGAGCTCTGAATTAAACTTTTTTTCCCTTTTTGTTAAAATGAATCCAAGAAATAAACTATTGGTCACCAGAATGCAATATAACATGGAGGGTTTGGAATAAACTAGAGGGCTGCCTTAAGGTATCTGCACCAGCAAATTTTCAACATTTTATTTTGCCCTCAAAATCGTTCTACAGTAAGTTCAGATGATGTAATATGCATATCTGGTGTTCTTTTTCGAATATACCTTCGCATTTAAGAGAAAATCTACTCAAAAGTTGACTGATTTACCGAAAAAAAAAATTTTCATTTCCGTTACTAAGAAAAAGAACGGCAGGAGCGCAATTTGACTCCTCTTTCCAGCATCAAGTTCTATTGATGCGCTAAGCAAAATCTATTCACTGCTTGGATTCATTGACAAACTACCGCTGCAGATACCTTAAGAACATTTCCACTCTAATACTTTGGAAAGACCATTAAGACTTTCTAATAAAAACACTATATGTTACTTGGCACATGACTGCTAAATACAGGTTACCAAACTGGCTAACAAAACAAATTCCCCACGTCAAGTGCTTCTCACTGAAAAATGCCCCTGATCTCCACTCCATATAAAAATGCTCACATTAATATTCTCAATAGTTACGCGCTAGAGAAGGGTTGCTGTCTATGATGTTATAAAAATCTGAATTCCCCCACCCCTTTCCTTTCAAGATAAAGGAAAGCCACAAATTTTCCCCTCCCTAAGGACAGAGAATTCCTCCTTGTATTCTCCCATGGGGTCCTACCCCTGGGGGAAGCTGATGACATGTGCATCATTCATTCTTCTTCTTATTAAAATTATTATTGTTATTAAAACAGTTTAACATTAATATTATTGTTATTATTATTAATACTATTACTATATCATCATCATCATCATCATCCAAAGAACCGGTCAGTTATACCATGCTAGGACCAACTGTGGTTTTACTTGTCTCTGAGGCATCAAAGGTGGTCTTAGCCTGAGAAAACAGCCAGCATTTCGCGACACCACTACTGAATTCCCCGCGAAATGACGTCTGAGAATCAAGCACAGAAATTCCACACTAATGACGCGTCATTACCCAGATCTAAGAAGTGCTTCTGCTTGGTCGTGCGGCTCGCGAAAATTGCTTCAACCAAACAGAAGCACCACCCAGATCTGGGTAGTGATATGCCATCAGTATGGAATTTCTGTGCTCGTTTCTCAGTTGTGCTTGTTTCTCAGACATCATTTCGTGGGGAAACAGTTGGTGGCGTCGCGAAATTTCAGCTGTTTTCTTAGGCTAAGCGAGCTCTATGCATTGTATTTTGAACCAACTTCTTGCTTTCTTGATAACAGATAAAACACTAATGATTCTCTTAATTTCTACCTTTAGAGAAAACAGGCTGTTGCCCTGTAAGCTGTTCCAGAACTTTAGCAGCACGGGTCAATCTGTCACCACTCTCTCCAACGCTAATATTTAGACAGAGTTTCCTGATCTGTAAATCCCTCATAGGGTTGGATTTTACTTGTACCTATGGTATATTAAAGTTAAGTTAAAGACCTATCAATATACCATATTCAATGTCAATTAGGTACCCTGGGCACTTATTAAATAGGTCATTTTGAAGTTTCCCCGGGCCTCTGTATCAAAATGAGTTTAAATGCTCAGCCTTTGATATGAAAATGAATTCTCATTCTCATGGGAATAAAACTCTTTTTTCACAAGAAATGGGCACAGCTGGAATTGACTGATGGATAGACCCTGCCACAGTTTTCGACGCCACCTTGATGAGTAGGCAAACGCGTGAGAAATTACAGTGTTTGTATGAGAATCCAATGTCGAATAATTTCCGTAAAACGGCTGTTCTGGAAAAAATATGAACTGTAAACTAAAGCTACACAGCAAAGGATTTTACCAACAAATTTTGGGGGCCATTACTGTGCTTAAATTTCTCCAGAAGCTTGCTTTAGATTTTCCATATATTTGTCTGCAATTTTTCCCGGGAAATTTTTACAGACAAATGTATAGAAAATTAAAAAAAAAAGGTTCTAGGTCTTCTAGTGCATGTAATGCCCTTAAATTTTTTCAGTAGAATCCTAAGAGTGAAGCTTTAGTTTACAGTTCATATATTTTTTAAAACAGCCGTTTTATGGAAATTATTCGACATTAGATTCTCATACAAACACTGTAATTTCTCACAGGTTTGCCTACTCGTCAAGATGGCGTCGAAAACCGTGACAAGGTCTATTACGGATATCACAAAAACTTCATCCAACTATTCTTTTTTATATACTGGGCACTAAATATGCGTAACTGATGATGCAAGGGTTGGATACTGGGCAAATTTAAAACAATATTAATATTATTTTTTTCGTCTATTAATGGATGGTTGAGGCGAATCGTAGTTGAGAGAAAGTTAAATGGTAGAAGATCTTTTTACTCGACTTGAGTTTCACTACATGGTTAAGACAACGATAAAAAAAACCCGCAGAAGCGCACTTTCTCAGAGTTATGAACAGAAAAGAAAATTTAAAAGCCCAAGAAACTGAACTGACGGAACGATATATTATCGATAACACTCAGTAAACTGTATTTAAAAGTAGCATAAAAGGTAGACTACCCGAAAGGAGGTTTAGCAACGAACGTGGACCAAAAGAGAAATTATATATCTAAAATTTGCAAATAGTTAAAACCAGATAAATGCAACAACGACGAGGATGTAAGAGGATTGCTTTGCTCCGATTATCAAAAGACACTCACCGCCATTTTGTTTGGCCGAAAAGAAAGAAGACTGGGCAGGGTAGGTTGAAGAAGCGGGAGGGACTGGAAAGGAAAGTGAGCCGCCCATAGAAATTTACATATGTAAAAATGGCGGACGATCGAAGTCCTCGGCGTCGGAGAAGAACCTTTTCTACAACTTCTACAATCTCCACAGACGATTACCAAGATGTTAACGAGCAGATCGTAGAGGATATCACGCTAGACTTTTTCTACAAGCCTCGGTCGATCACGGCTCTTTCGTGTATGATTATTTACCTTATTTATTCTGCGTTTACCAGGTGAGCGGGTACTTTGTATAAAGGTTAAAGGATTTGTTAAGCATCTTTCTTTAACGAAGATTTCGCAGATTTGTTAAAAAAAATGGTAAGGACCATGGAAATGCTTGAAAGATTTGCATTTTAACAAAGCGTTAACTGGCCGTCTGCAAGCTTAAATCCGCTTTTTGCACGGTCATGTGTTTTACAAGTGCCCCGCTATATCAACGTTAGTTACGCCTGAGCTTGTTCACACATGTTAAATTTAGTTAGTTTTTTTATTTCAAAGCACTTGATTTATATCGTAGCTTCAGGGGAGACTGTTGGTTTTTGTGATCATGATTCTCAATAATATCAGTTATCATTTTATTTTTGTTGAGATTTGGTCGGTCGATAATTAAAGCTTAATTTCGATTCTTCATGTACATTACGCTTCAATAAGCGGAACATTAATTTTTGCATAACAGTTTGTCGCTAGCTAATTGTGCTGTCTTTTTAGATCTTCAAAATTATTTTTCCACGAAAAAAAATTTTCATCGTGATAAGCATCAATTTATGTCTTGACTTGTTGAGTGGGATTGGCCCACGTTTCAGATTGTTTTTCATATCTTACACATGTATATAATAACAGCTACGTTAATAATTCATGTCAAGATAGAACATGAATTTATGTTTAATAAAAATGTGTCTTTTAATCTCAGAGGGATAAAAATATATTTGATGATATATGATCCCATGTGGCTCCGATATTGTTCAACTTTTTTTGTGGTTGCAAACGAAGGATAAGTCCAATGTCCAGCCATCTAAACATCTCTAAACAAGCTCAGAAATAAAGAATTTGTTACTGAGCCAAAAGAATACTGTTTTCTTACAGAAAAAAATGTAGTCAATACCAAGTAGGCAAGATAGGTTCATCTTGCCTGCTGGGACAGCCAATCAGAATAGTGCATCATGAAACTTTACTTGAATCAAAATTAAAGATAACTCCTCTGTGCCCAGGGCAGGCCCAGGCTCACAACAGCCTCCTTAAAGCCAAATTATAAGGATTTGCAAGGGAATTGATTGAAAGTTCAATAAAATGGTTTATTAACCCTTTAAGCCCTGAGAGTGATCAGCATCAAATTTCTCCTTTTAATATCAATGCTTTGTAAAACAGAGTGGTCATGAGAATTATGGACATGATCACACAAGATGAATTTGCTTGATATTTTATCAACTTCTCCCCACTACTTCTGTAGGAAATGAATAGGGGCAACAAATGAGAATTCAAATTTTGATCTTAGGGTATAAAGGGTTAAACACTGTGCTCACTGTCTGTCTTCTCATTAGCTAAAAGCTTTCATTTAATTTTGGAAATCAGTGTAACCTACAGTTTAGACATTTATCTGCTAGCAGATAACTTGTAGTGACTAATCTCTGAGTTGCACGCACAATGCATGATTTACAAGAGCAATGTCAATGCAATGCATATGATGGTGTGTTTACCGTTATGGTTTTTCATAACAATGTATAACAAAATTGGAACAATTGGAACAATCAAAGTCTCGGTAAGTGTCATTAGCCTGTGTACAGACGTCCCCCCCTTCCTTAGGAAAAATCGGGAGAGGAGACGTCTGTGAATCGCCGACGATAATCGTGTTCCCGTTTCCCCGGAATGTTGGGGACAGCCTCTGATTGGTTGTAATGTTAATGCCATGAGGCAAATAATTTCCAGTGTTGTGATTGGTGAATGAACTTCAGAATAGATTCCCCGGGAAAAAGCTCAGCCTTTATGAACATTCATATTAATTTTGTTTACCGGTATTTGTATTTCGGCTGTCTCGAAAAGGTATGAGAAGTTAAGACCACCGATGTTTGCTGCACCAGTTGCAGGTGCGTCTGTGTGTACCGGTCGGTATTTACCCCAAAAAGATTCTATTAATGAATTGATTATTTGAAAAAAAATGAATCCGTTAGTGGTTCCCGTAACTGGTGTCAAATTTAAATCGGCATTTCTCTATGCGTAATGAGCAGATAATATTTTAAGAGAACTTTTCTGCATTTGGTCAGATTGAAAATCTTTGAATGGATTAAATGTCTTAGAAGACATTTACATCAAATTCATGTAAACGGAGCTGGTAGAAATTTCGTAACTGAATCGCATGTGAATTCATGGCTTATTACGCATGCAAGAATGCACACAGAGATGAATCTGAAATCTACAACTACCAACGGTTCAACTTTCGAATAATAAATACATTAATGGGATCTTGGGAGGTACGCTTGACCTGGCTTGACTGTAATCAGAGATCTTATATCTGGATTTTGGGCGGACATTGCGTGAAGATGTTCGGTTAGCCTGTACACAGACGCCAGAGCTATTTTTCGACCTACATGTGCCTTTTCAACCGTCAGCGAAAGAACCAAAAATTAATTTATGCAAATGTATACCGGAACACAATTAACGACGGCAATTCACAGACGTCTCTTCTCCCGATTTTTCCTGAGGGACAGGGGACGTCTGTACACAGGCTAAGTGTCATCAGCCTTTGTAAGGCAGGAAACAATAAGAAAACAATACAGAATTTCTTTTTTAAGTTATGCCTTGTACATTTTAACCACTTCATTTAACTTTCGATACATTGCAGTACAAGTTCTTATTATTTGTTCATGTGGCTTGTCTGTTGCGTAGTTAATTTGTTTACATGCTGTGAGAAATGGGACGTTAACATACCAACTAAGGGACAGACAAGCCACGCAAACATTTTCGTAAATGCTAAAAGCCATGCAATAGAGAAACCTCTGCTCGCAGTGTAGATATCATTGAAATTGTTGCTAGCTAAGGCTCCTAGTGGCCATACTACAGTGTATTATGGCTGTGTACTTACCTTTGTCCCTATTTTTTCCTTAGAAACCCTGATGCTACCCGTGAAGAGAATATTTGGAGTGGTTTGGTTTCTCTTGCTGTAGTGTTTCTTGTTCTCAGTCTTCTTGTCATGCCAAATGGTAAATTTGATTTTATTGCTATTTTTTTTGTTTGTTCAGTACATTTAACAATTTCTTGGAAATCTCATGAATGCTGTTTATGTTTAAATTGAAAAGTGAGAAAAGTAATCATTTGTTTTTCTTTTGTTTGTGTAGGACCATTCATTCGCCCTCATCCAGCACTTTGGAGGTTGATATTTGGTATGAAAGCTCAGATGAGTACCGTAAATCCTCTATTAAGTCCACCCTCTCAAATTAGCACTCCCACTTCCCCCATTTCCATCCACACACATACTTCTGTAACACCCAAGTAACCATCACAATACCCCCCTCCCTGCACAATCAGTACTCTCACCCAACTAACTCTACTACGATCCTTCCCCCTTCTCTATTAAGCCCCCCCCCCTCCTCCAATCCTTATTCTTCACAAAAAAATTAACGATTAACGTGGACTGATCAGTTATGGTTTATTTATAAAAATTACCAAAGAACATGAGGTCCAAAAGAAGAA